CTGAGGTGTCAAAACAGAATGTATGCCTATACATGTGTCCTATAACAGAAACAACAGAGGTGTAAAAAAGAATGCCTATAATGAAGGAAACAAAATAAAAAATATTTATTCTAATAGAGGATATATACTTGGTAGAGGAATTATATATGGTTACCTGATACTTGAACTTTTTTGTTTGTTTATTTCTTTTACAATATATTAAATACAATGAAGGATATGTATGAGGGGCTACTACGTGTGTGAAAGCTTGTAATTGAACATCAAGTTATTTTCCTATTACAGCAAGTGTACACCAAGGTTCGGCTGTGAGTTTTTATCCATTTGTCTTAGTGATGAATGAACTAACAAAAGACATTCAAGAGGAAGTGTCGTGGTGTATGCTTTTTGCAGATGATATTGTGCTTATTGATGAGACCAAAGGCGGTGTTAATAGGTAAATTGAATTGTGGAGAAGCACTTTGGAGTCTAAAGGTTTCATGTTAAGTTGGAGCAAGACTGAGTATATGAAGTGTGAGTTTTCTCTAGTAAGAGATGAAGATCAAGACCTGTTGCGACTCGACAAGTGCACTAGTCGTAAAGTAATAAAGTGTACCGGAGTACGAGATCGTTCCCACGAGGATCAGAATTTTCAAACACTAGTTCGCTAATTGCGTCATAGTTGAACAATCAAAAGTTGGATTTTAGAGAATTGTTATTTGAAGAATTTAAAATTAAAACAAGTAATAGCATGCTATTAAGAAAATTCAGAATTAAAAAGAATGAATGAAGATGATGTTTGATGAGGAATTTAAAACAAGCGTAGTTAAGGTTTCGACTTCCCCCAATCTCCTCAATATATTATGAATTAAACAGTCAAGAATCTGTTTCTTAATTTATTGCCAATCAATTCTTTCTAAGCTAATTAGGGCTCAATTCCTTGTTACCCTAAATCTATGTGAGCTCAGAAGAACCCTAGTTCCCCGGTTATTCCCCAAGAAAACATGCATTAAGATCAATAATTCCAAGATTGCATAATTACCCTATGTCTATCCCTAGATCACAAGGATTATGATAAATTTATCAAGTCAGGGTTCATGCACCAACCCTATTGTCATACAATTCCCCAAAATCATTCTATAAGGAACAAACTCATAGAAGACATTAAAGACAGATAAATTTATTCAATTATAAAAAGAACAGAATTCAGAGACAATTTAATTCATAAACATAAATATTCAATTGGGTTCCATCTACCCTTAAATACATAAAAATCTAGCCTAGCATACTGAATTGAAAAACAATAATAAAGAAAAGAGAACCCCAAGCCTCCATTGGTGTGATGTTGACTTGGTTCCTCAGTGTTCCAGCGCTCCGCAACAGGATTCCTCCTTCAGGACTCTATGTAGTTCTCTAGACTTGTGAATTGGTTTTTGAAAAATTCGTGTTTTGGTCTGACCCTCAGCTCCCTATTTATAATCTTCAAAGCCACATCCTTCATTGCATCTTCCCACCGTATCTGTATAAGATTTGTAATTGATTTTATAATTGCTTCCTTTTGCATTTAAGATCTTGTAGATTGGTGAGAGATTTTTGACTTTGAATCTTGTTATAATCTTGTATCAATCTTCCGTGAATCAGCTTCGATATGTTTCCTTTTTAGTTCCAATATCACAATATGACAAATCTTCATTAAATCTCAGCAAATCTTAGTGAATCTTTGCTGTCAGGAACGTGCTTGGGCGCTCAAGCACGCTTATGGCCGCTTGAGCGTGCTATTCTGAGTAAAATTGATGTTTCTGCCTGCCTGAGCGCGCTCGAGCGTGCTACTGGGCGCTTGAGCGTGCTCCTCGAGTCTGGAATTATGTCTTCTGGGACGCTTGAGCGTGCATATGTGCGCTTGAGCGTCTTGTTGTGTCCAGTTTGGCTGTTTTTCCTGCTTCCAAACTCTCGAGCGTCCTCTTGTGCGTTTGAGCGTGCTTTTCTGGACCTTGAATTGTATTATTTTGGCTTCCTTTGGCCCATATTGATCCACAACTTCTTTATCATGATTTCTTTAGCACTTCTTAGCACAAATCTTTGTGGTTTTACCTTCAAAATGCAAATAATATCAAGACGGCAACTAAATTTCATATCTTATGACTTATAACTTGTAAAACCTTGAATTCCATGCATTCTACTACATAATTCTTGAATAATTTAGCCTTTAAACATGGTATACCAAAGGTTTATCAAACATTCCCAGATTTGAATATTGCTGTCCTCAGCAATCAATCAGAATAGAACTAAGGGATTAGGGAGTAGGAATCTCAATAGCATGGAATTTGACAAGAAGGATTTAACAGAGACATGATAACAGAGCATTCAGACTATAAAAATTGATGCATCAATCAAATAAATTCACAATTCATCAGAAAAGAAATTCTTAAGATTAATAACAAGGGAGATTTCCTTTAGCACCCCCTCACTAGAATTTCAATTCACTCACGCTCCACTATTTAGAGGGTTGGTGTTTCACTCATATCCCACTGAATCAGACTACCATAGGCTTGCTTATATTCTATCTCTCCATAGTAACAGTAAAGTATTCAACAGATCAAGAGGTCTTTATTTCGGTTGTAACTTGGCTTAGCTGAAGGGGAAGGAAAATTTGGAGAAGGGGGCTTCCGAGATTAAAATTCAGATTCTTATGAGGAATGGATGTAGTTGTTTCCAATTTGTCAACAACTTTCTTTTTCTTTCGTTCATTCTTCTTCACTTCTCTTTTTCTTTGAACTTTTCTCTTATTTTGTCTTTCTCTTCTCTCAGAATACTCTTATTTCTTTTCATTTTTTTCCTTCTCCGCTTTCTTTCGAGTAGTTTTCTTTCTCTTTGTTTGTTTCTTTTTCCTTCCAACCAACCTTTCTTGGCTTTTGCCTTTCTTCCCTATACTTCCACACATCATTATTCATATATTCAATCAATGAGCACTTGTCCTCAATCTGAAATTAAATCTCAATTAAGGTGAGGAGTGTATGGATAATGGCTTATTCAATTCATAGGTTTTCAAAGAATTAACAGGCCTAGGCTCAAAATGGTTAACTAAGGAATAACATTAATGGTTGGCTATTTGGCCATCTAATTTAAAGAAAGAACATGCCTCAATCATATCCATATAATAAATCACATACTAATTCAAACCAGAAACAAAGCAAGTTCTAGAGCCTTTCATACAGTGGAATGCACACTCAATAAATTTTTTTTGTATAGGCTCAAAACCTCACGACTATGAATGCACAGTTATTCCCCTAGTCCTTTATCTCAAAAATTCAATTCTAAAGAAGGTATTCAATCAACATCGATGCTTATTATAAAAAAGTTCAAGTAAGTCATCATCATGCTCTGAATCAATTACTGATAAAAAAAATTCCACCATTTTTCCATTTAAAAGCACTGAGTTAAACTTTCAAACTTTTCACAAAAACAATGGCTTTGGGGTTTTCAAAACAAACTAAAAAATAAAAATTCAATAAAAAAATAATTAAACTAAAGGAAAGGAGAAAGGATTTGAGATAGCTCCCTGTTTTAGCTAGATGTTCTGTGTATGCTCATGAAGTTCCTCCGGCTTACTCAATTGTGCTTAGATGAATTGCGCGTTCCCCATTCCCAAATTTAAATGTTGTTGTCCACAGCAACAAATTTAAATCTATAAAGAAAACGCGTGAGAAATAAAAACAACTAGTCGCTCTCTTGTTGTTTGTTCCTTTTTCTTCACATGTAAAATTCACTCAATGATAGCCGTTAGTCTCAACACCTTCTCCTATATTTTTGTATTTTTCTTAATTGGAAAAAGATTAATTAAAACTAAAAATAATAAAATGGTGGGTTGCCTCCTCCTAGCGCTTGTTTTACGTCATGAGCCTGACGTACCTGACTTATGATCACGGTGGTTCATAGCATGATCTTGGTGATGACCAAGCTCCATCATTCAGAAATTGTGTCATACCATAGTGCTCTTCTGCATATGGATGAGGTAAAGTAGTCTCAGGAACTTTGCATTTGGTATTTATATGCTTTCCCTTGCTCCTCGGCTTTTCCATCTTAACTTTTGGCTTACTTTCTTGAGAAGACTCCTCATTGTGTTCTTGTTCACCTTTCTTTTCACTAATAAAGTAGACTTGGTCTTCCGGTTGAGCTACGGATGAGGGGACTTCTTTTTCAAAGAACTTGAAAATTGCTTGCTCTCCGTCTACCCGTAAGATCAGCTCACCTTTAAGTACATCAATCAGTACTCCTGAAGTTGCCAAGAAGGATCTTCCAAAAATCATAGGAATAGTGGCATCTTCTTCAATGTCAAGGATGACAAAATCGATAGGAATGATGAATTTGTCTACCTTTACTAATATGTCCTCAATGATGCCATAAGCTTGCTTTGAAGAGCGGTCAACCAGTTGCACTATCGTCTTTGTGGGCTGCACTTCAGTAATCCCCAGCTTCTTCAACATGGAGAGTGGCATGACATTGATGCTAGCTCCAAGATCATATAAAACATTGTCCACTTCCACTTTGCCTATAGTGCATGGAATGCTGAAGCTCCCTGGATCCTTGACTTTGGTAGGTAACTTCTTTTAGATGATAGCATTACATTCCTCCGTCAGATTCATCGTCTCACATTCCTGCAACTTACGCTTCCTTGATAATAGATCCTTCATGAACCTTGCATAGTTGGGCATGTTCTCTAAAGCTTCGGCAAAAGGAATGTTGATCTGCAACCTCCTGAATATATCTATAAACTTTGAACATTGCTGCTTCTGAATCTCTTTCTTTAATCTCTGAGGATAAGGGATTCGAGCATATGGAGAGATATCCAATGGCTTGTTATGTCTTTCTAGAGCTTTCTTCTTCTCCCACTTGAATAGTTTTTTTTCGGCTTTTTCAGGATTGCTTTTGTCAACTTCAATTGTATCCTTTTCCTTTTCTTCCTTCTCTTCTTCAACTGATTCTTCTCCATCCTTCTTCTTTTCTTCGGGCTGCTCCTCTATAGGCTAAATCACTGTCTCACTCATAGTGGTGATAGCATTGCAATGCTCCCTTGTATTGACAAATATGTTGCTTGGAAAAGTACCCGGAGCTCTCTCAGAAAATTGCTTTGACAACTGGCCAATATGAATTTCTAGATTTCTTATGGAAGCTTCTTGATTCCGGTGTGCTGCTTTAGTCTCTTGCATGAAAGCAGATGTGTCTTCTCCGAAAGCATTTGCACCTTGAATATAATCAGAAGTGGTCTTGCATAGCTGTGCAAAAGCTTTCTCCCACTCAGAAGTGTTACTTTGTTGTGGGGTATGTGGTTGCACTGGAAGGGGAGGATTGAGCTGATAGTTGGATTTGTGACTCAACCCTGGATGTTGATTCTGATTCTTCTGATCATACCAGAGTCCATTGGCCTCCGCTGGTGGCTTTTCAGTTGTTCTCATGTAGTCACAATCTTCAGTTGCATGAGCCTCCGCACAAATACCACATTTAATTTGAGAATTTCTAATAGAAGAAATTTGAGAAAGATTAAATTGCTTAGTAAGAGCATCTAATTGTTCTTGTTGTTTCTTATGCATTTGCAACATTTGTTCATTTTGGGCTAAGATTGCATCATAGCCGTCGAGCTTCATAATTCCTGCTCTCCTTTGTGCAACTGGAGCATTGTCAAATTCTTGAGAAGCTAAAGATTCCAACAATTCTAGCGCTTCCTCTGGAGTTTTTGTCTTCAGGGAGCCTCCTGCAGCAGCATTTACCAGTGTTCTTGTGTTGGGCGTCATCCCTTGGAAAAAGATTCTTGCTTTCTCCCATGCTTCTATTCCATGTTGAGGACACTTCTTGAGTAATCCCTTAAATCGCTCCCAAGCCTCGTACAGAGATTCACTTTCTTTTTGTTCAAAAGAGGTGATTTCCGATTTGAGTCTTGCCATCTTTGAAGCTGAAAAAAATCTGGCCAAGAATTTTCTTGCTAAGTCATCCCAACTAGTTATGCTTCCTTCAGGTTTAGACTGCAGCCAAGCTCTTGCATCATCCTTCAGTGAGCATGGAAATAGTCTGAGCAAGATAGAATCACGAGAAACTCCATTCACTTTTAATGTATCACAGTAAAGTAAGAAATCATCCAGATGACTATAAGGGTTCTATGTGCTTCTTCCAGCGAACTGATCTTTTTGAATCAGTTGCAGCAGCGCCGACTTTAGCTCGTAGTTGTTGGCTTCTATGGTCGGTCTAACAATGCTCGCCGTCTGTGGAACTCGAGCTGGGGTCATGTAATGCCCCAACGTCCTTGGAGCGAGTTGATTGTTTTCTGCCATTGGTTCCTCCTTAGGTTCCGTCGAACTTGATGCTTCTTTGCTTCCATCGCCTTCTTTGCTTTTGCGTCCTTTCTAATTTCCTTTCTGTCTTTTCTATCTCAGGATCAAACTGCAAGATTCGCGGGTTAAGAGTACCTCGCATAAACTAAGATTCAAAAGATGTGCAGAAAAAATAGAAAAAGACAAAACAGAAAAAAGAAAAAAAATAAAAATAAACAAAGAATGCAGAAAAATAAATTTGCAGAAAATTGATGCAGAATTTTAAGGAAGAAAAATATTTTTGAAGAATATAGAAAGTTCAGAAAATTAAAACGTCCAATCTAAAAGTTATTTAGTTACTTCTAATGTTGAAGAATTCGATCCTCGGCAACGGCGCCAAAAACTTGTTGCGACTCGGCAAGTGCACTGGTCGTAAAGTAATAAAATGTACCGGAGTATGATATCGTTCCCACGAGGATCAGAATTTTCAAACACTAGTTCGCTAATTGCGTCATAGTTGAACAATCAAAAGTTGGATTTTAGAGAATTGTGATTTGAAGAATTTAAAATTAAAACAAGTAATAGCATGCTATTAAGAAAATTCAGAATTAAAAAGAATGAATGAAGATGATGTTTGATGAGGAATTTAAAACAAGCGTAGTTAAGGTTTCGACTTCCCCCAATCTCCTCAATATATTATGAATTAAACAGTCAAGAATCTGTTTCTTAATTTATTGCCAATCAATTCTTTCTAAGTTAATTAGGGCTCAATTCCTTGTTACTCTAAATCTATGTGATCACAGAAGAACCCTAGTTCCCCGGTTATTCCCCAAGAAAACATGCATTAAGATCAAAAATTCCAAGATTGCATAATTACCCTATGTCTACCACTAGATCACAAGGATTATGGTAAATTTATCAAGTCAGGGTTCATGCACCAACATCCCTATTGTCATACAATTCCCCAAAATCATTCTATAAGGAACAAACTCATAGAAAACTTTAAAGACAGATAATTTTATTCAATTATAAAAAGAATAGAATTCGGAGACAATTTAATTCATAAACATAAAGATTCAATTGGGTTCCATCTACCCTTAACTACATAAAAATCTAGCCTAGCATACTGAATTGAATAACAATAATAAAGAAAAGAGAACCCCAAGCCTGCATTGGTGTGATGTTGACTTGGTTCCTCAGTGTTCCAGCGCTCCGCAACAGGATTCCTCCTTCAGGTCTCTATGTAGTTCTCATGACTTGTGAATTGGTTTTTGAAAAATTCGTGTTTTGGTCTGACCCTCAGCTCCCTATTTATAATCTTCAAAGCCACATCCTTCATTGCATCTTCCCACCGTATCTGTATAAGATTTGTAATTGATTTTATAATTGCTTCCTTTTGCATTTAAGATCTTGTAGATTGGTGAGAGATTTTTGACTTTGAATCTTGTTATAATCTTGTATCAATCTTCCGTGAATCAGCTTCGATATGTTTCCTTTTTAGTTCCAATATCACAATATGACAAATCTTCATTAAATCTCAGCAAATCTTAGTGAATCTTTGCTGTCAGGAACGTGCTTGGGCGCTCAAGCACGCTTATGGCCGCTTGAGCGTGCTATTCTGAGTAAAATTAATGTTTCTGCCTGCCTGAGGGCGCTCGAGCATGCTACTGGGCGCTTGAGCGTGCTCCTCGAGTCTGGAATTATGTCTTCTGGGGCGTGCATATGTGCGCTTGAGCGTTCTGTTGTGTCCAGTTTGACTGTTTTTCCTGCTTCCAAACGCTCGAGCGTCCTCTTGTGCGTTTAAGTGTGCTTTTCTAGACCTTGAATTGTAATATTTTGGCTTCCTTTGGTCCATATTGATCCACAACTTCTTTGTCATGATTTCTTTAGCACTTCTTAGCACCAATCTTTGTGGTTTTACCTTCAAAATGCAAATAATATCAAGACGTCAACTAAATTTCATATATTATGACTTATAACTTGTAAAACCTTGAATTTCTTGCATTCTACTACATAATTCTTGTATAATTTAGCCTTTAAACATGGTAAACCAAAGGTTTATCAAGACCCCGTGCATTTACTTGGTCAAGAGGTTCCCAAGAAAAATGCTTTTAGATACCAGGGATCCATTTTGCTAAAAAGTGGTGAGATTGATGGGGATGTAAATCATAAAATCAGATCGGGATGGATGAAATGGCGGAGTGCATCTGGGTTTTTGTGTGACCGTAAAATTCCACTTAAGCTAAAAGAAAATTTCTATAGGACAACAGTAAGGCTTGCAATGTTATATGGAGTTGAATGTTGGCCAGCACATAGGCAACTCGAGCATAAAATGGGAGTAGCAGAAATAAGGATGTTAAGGTGGATGTGTGGTTATATGAGGATGGATAAGATACAAAATGAAGATAATCGACAAAAGGTAGAAGTAGTACCGGTAATTGAAAAGATGGGGGAACATAGATTGAGGTGGTTTAGGCACGTAATGAGACGACCCATGGACGCTCCTGTAAGAACAAAAGTTTGTTACCAAGAGCTCGACACAAAGAGAGGTAGAGGTAGACTGAAACTTACCTGGGGAACGATGGCTAAACAAGACTTAATGAAGTGGGATATAGATTGGCGCACGGTGTATCTTAGGACGAAATGGAGAAAAGCTATATGCAGGGTGAAAGGTTAAATCTGTTGTTATTCCTATGTTCCATATGGTCCCCTTTTAGTTCTTTTCCTCTTCAATCCCCCTTCTCTTTCTTTTCTCATTCTTGTCTTTTATCTTATTTCCCCCTTCCCTAATTTTTTATTTTTTATTTTTTAATTAATTAATTTTTTTTATTTTTTATTTTTTTAATCTCCTTTTATTTATCATTTGGGTTCATCTATATAACACCTCGTATTTCTAAATATATATTTATAGATGATAATGTCGCTTAAGAGGTTAGGATTAGTGAAAATCCTGAGATTAGGGTCAAAATATATAAGAAGGGCAAAATGGTAATTTACCAAACACGTATCCCTAGGCATGAAAAATCGAGTTGAAGGCCTCAAATGGTAAAAATAAGGCCGAAAATGGATTCAGAACGAAAAATCGAGTAGATAGACAAGTTTCTGAAATTTTGATGAATAGTGATTTTCCGGTATAAAATACTGCGGTATAATTGTACCGATAGGCGTGAAATTTTGATCAGTATTTTTAGGAAACAAAAATATGACACGAACGGGAAAAATACGTAGTTTATGAAATTGTGGTTCAATTTAGATGTTTCATTAAAGTTAAATCGCGTGTGGGACCCGCGGAACCAAAATCCACTTAAGTTTCCCTTATTTTCCCTCAACCTCACGAGCTCTCTCTCTCTCCTTTCCCTTTCTTTTCCCAGCGTGAAACAGCCCCTCCCACATTGATGAGCCTTCATCCTTTTGCTCTCCAAAACCATCATTTTTTGGCCAAATCCTTTGATTTTGGTGTTGAAATCAATTGGAAAACTCATTCTAAAGCCATTGGTGATACCCCGTAGCCTTGAAATCGCTCCCTTGGTGAGTGTTTAGCCTAGGTCAGTTTTGAAAGATTGGAAAAAAGTGATGTTCATGGAGGCATTAGACCTCTAGATGCTTGGAGAAGCCTTGGTGGAGAGTCTAGCATTGATTGTGAGTGTATTTACATGGTTTTTATGATTGATTTCATAGATCAAATTTATGAACCCTATGCTTGTAATTGTTGATTTATGATGATTGGAAGCTCAAATGGAAAAATTGCATTAGACAATAATGTCTTAGAATGACATGATTGAGCTAGAAATGCTATGAAAATTCTAAGTGAAAATGATGATGTAACTTAGGAAAAAATCAAGTGTCATGAGATTTAGAAATTTAGTTGTGTGAAAATGGCATGATTGTTTATTGTATAGGTTAATAATAGGATTTTATGACATGTGTAATTGTTGAATTGGATTGAAAACCTTGAGGGGTGTTTCATTGATGAATTCGAACCATAGGTAGTTGGTAGGAAAAATGATGTGAAAATATGGTTTAGACAATGGATGTTGATTAAGTGTATAATGGTGGGGTTGATGAATCACTTTGATGAGTCAAGGAGTTAAGATAATTGAATTAAATGGGAATGGGCCATTAGGCCTAAGTGACTATAGGTTGGTTTTATAATTGTGTGAAATTGATGAATTGTTTGCATATGTTTGATGGTCATTTGTTGATCATATAGGTTACCTCTCTCGGACGCGATAGTGGAAGATTGAGCTCAGAGCGTACGTTTGGAGCCTATTGCTTGGAGTTGAGGTAAACCCTTGGAACTGGGGTTTAGTCCCTTGTGTGCTCCACCACACCTAGTGGAAGGTTGTGGTTGGATGTTGTGTTGTATGATGTGGTGTGGAAAATGTATGTTCATGCATCATTACTGTTTGTGTGCATTGTTTGTGATATCTGGCCAATAAATGTGTGTTGGTTTGGACTTCCGCTGGAGATATCCTTTGGGGATTCCGGTCGGGTTTTGCCGTGGAATCGACTCTGGGAGCGGTACCAGGATGATCCAAACGTGGGACTTCCGTTGGATAGGGCTCATGAGGAGTTCCAGTTGGGTTTTGCCATGGGGTCGTCTCAACCATGGGAGAGGCACCAGGAAGATTCCCGAG